CAGGACAGAGTGGCCCATCCCTACTAACAGCCCTTTGGGATCTTGCCGGGGGCTGAGGGGGTGGATGGAGACGTGGCCGTGGATGAGGACGAGCTGGCTCCTCACCCTCTTCTCGGAGCTCTCGGGGAGGTGAGGACCATGCTGGGAGAGGTCGGGGTCAGGTCATCTGGGGAATCGCACCTGGGAGACACACAGGAGTCCCTGCTCCTGCCAAGAATCAGTGTGGGGACACCCGAGGGAGGAGTGAGTGACTCCCCAACAACCCCTCGGGACCAGGAAGGGATGGCCCAGAAGTCTGTGCAGCCCCTACCTGGAGGCCCTGGGAACGCTGGGTGGGGTCTGTCAGGCTGAGTCCCTCCTCCTCTCCAGATCCTTCCTCTCAGGATGGAGAGGGCCCGGGCCTGAGGGTCTGGACTCGGGTAGCAGAGGAGGCAGGTGCCCTGGTTCTGGGTCTGGCCCTGATGGTGGGGGGCAGATGAGAGATGAGGGGATGCCTCCCACAGCAGGATCCTTAGGGCCCAGGCATACCCTGCCGCTGCTGCCAGCCATGGGGAGACGGGCGAACGGTGGGCCAAGTTATTTCTCCTGATTTTCCTTCTGGTGTCTCCCAGAGATGAGGCCTTGGCACCAGGAGGGTGGCCTCTGGTCAACACAGGGAGTTTTCCCAAACCATCCGTGGGGTCAAAGTATAGACGGAGAGGTGCGCCCATCCCAGCACAGACGGCACCCGAGCTTGGCCGTCCCTGGGATCCTGAGATGAGCCCTTAGACCTCTGGCAGGCGTGGGCAGAGGTGGGCCCCCTGGCTTACCTTCTGTGGGGTCTCAGGGCTGCGCGGTCTTGCTGTGACCCTGTGGCCTCAGGCTGCGGGGGTGCGGCCCAGGCCCTGCCAGGGGAAATAGTCCCCTGAGGGGCCAAGGAGGGGACCACCCAGCTTGGACGAATGGGGACCTCACAGAGTCTGCCCCAGCCCTCCTGCCCCACTGGGGGCCGGGGGCTGTGCCCTGTGTCTGCACCCCGAAGTGATTCCTCCTTTTCTCCTCCAGGGGCTACCAGAATTCAGAGTCGAGGCCTAGGTCTGAGGCAGGAGCCTCTAAGGTCCCAGAGCAGGGGAGGTGCAGGTGAGTGCCAGTGGTCAAGGTGATGTACTTGCTCTGAGCATGGAGCCAGGGGCTCGCCCGTCCCACCCCAGAGGGGACCCCTACGCACACAAGTCCGACGCAGCGCACTGTCAGCTCCAGGACTTCAGGCCTCTGCTGCCTGGGCTGCACCCTGAGGACCCATCCCACCTCTTTCTTCAGGTTCAGCCCGAAACAAACCCCATGCCCCTGGGTCAGAGGAGTGAGCTCTGGAACCTGGAGGAAGACCCAGGCCCGGCCCAGGGCCTGGTGGAGGCACAGCTGTTGGGGGCTGGGGAGGAGAAGGTCCCCCGCACCCCCTCCTCCTTCTCCACCTTGGCCTCCTCCCAGTCCGCCGCCCCATCTTGCCCCTGCTCTGCCCTGTTTCTGGTCCCCTCGGAGAGGGGGTCTGCTGCTGGGTTCCAGAGTTGTCCCCAGAGATCTCTGAGTGCCTGCCCCTCCCCTACTGCCCAGGCAGCCACTGCCTGCAGCCAGCCTGACCAGTGCTCCAGCAGCTCCGATGAGGAGGGGTCCAGCCCCTGCGAGGAGCCCGAAGAACCCCAGCCGGGGCACCAAAACCTACACCGGGGGAAGCTGTCCGAGCTGGTGGAGTTCCTGCTCCTCAAGTATCACATTAAGGAGCCGACCAGCCAGGCAGAGATGCTGGAGATCGTCAGCCAGGATGCGCTGGATGCCTTCCCTGTGATCTTGGGCCAGGCCTCCGAGTGATTGCAGCTGGTCTTTGGTATGGATGTGAAGGAAGTGGACCCCAGTGACCACTCCTACATCCTGGTCCCCATCCTGGGCCTCACCTATGATGGGATGCTGAGCGGTGAGCACGGAGTGCCCAAGTCCGGCCTCCTGGTGGTGCTCCTGGGGGTGAGTCTCCTGCATGGCGACTGTGTCCCCGAGGAGGAGGTGTGGGAAATGCTGGGGGTCATGGGGGTGTATGCCGGCCAGGAGTACGTCATCTACAAGGAGTCTAGGGAGCTCCTCACCAAGGTCTGGGTGCAGGAAGGGTACATGGAGTACCGGCAGGTGCCCGGCAGTGACCTGCCTGCTACGAGGTCCCGTGGGGTTCCAGGGCCCACACCGAAACCAGCAAGTTGCAAATGCTGGAGTATTTGCCCCAGGTCAGGCGCGGGCAACTGGCTTCCTCCCTGGCCCTGTCTGAAGGGACTGTGAGAGATGAGGAAGAGGGGGCCTGAGCCCTGGGGTCCGCAAGGCCCCTTCCAGGCTTTGCTGGGTTCGGCAGCCTCTCCTGCGGGGTGCTGGGCATGAAGTGAGGCCGCTTGCTGGTTCTTCCCTGTGTGTGTGTTTGTGTGTCCCCGTGAAGACAGAGCCCTGGGCGTTTTAAGGAGTGCAGGGCCAGGGAGGTTTGGGAGAAGAAAGCAGGGCAAGGAGCCTCCTGGGGGTGGGGAGGGTTGTTTCCTGGGATGACTCCCACATCCAGAGCTTGGTGTCCTTGAGGAAGCTCTCCTGTGGGGTTCCTTGCCATAGAAGTTTTCAGCCACTTCAGGGGCTGATTGTGTGAGTACCATCCACTCTGCAGCATTTGTTCTTACCCAGTCCAAGAGTTAAGAGTTTTATCATGTTCTTGGGGTGCCTGGGTCTTCTGTTGGTTAAGTGTCTGCCTTCGGCTCAGGTCAGGATCTCAGGATCCTGGGATCACACCCCACATGGGGCTCCCCACTCAGTGGAGACTCTGCTTCTCTCTCTCCCCTGTGTGTGCTTTCTCTTTCTCAAATAAATAAATAGCTTTAAGAAAAAGTTTTTCTTCATGCCCTAGACACCTGCCTGGACACCTTGCCTACTTGCTTGGGCTCTAGACCAAAATCACAGGGCATTGGCCTAGGGATGGTTTGGAAAGGCGCAAGAACGGAAGAAGCAAGGAACAGGGGTCAGAAGCTGAAGAGATAGAAGTTTGCTGGTTCTTGCTTCTGATGCCTTCCCGATCATCATTGTGCAAATGCCAAAGGCAAGCACGTGCACACAAGCGTGGGGACGGGGGCAGGAGGGCCCAGGTTCTGTCAGGATTCAAGGTGAGGACCAGAGGGAGGAAAGAAGGACCCTGGACCCAATAGGGAATCAGTCCTGGGAGGCCTCTGGGTGAGACAACGGTGACATGAGGCGTGTCCTGACTTCTGCTCTGGGTCCCAGAGACACTGAGTGCTTCTTGTGAGGAGTGGCCCTCCGGAGCAGGGATGAGGGCACCGGCCATCCAGGGAGTCCAGATGGGGAACAGAGGGTAGGGCTAAGGGACCTGAAGGACCCATCTCGAGGAATCCCTGGACTGTGTAGCCGGATGCGACGTCCACAGTCTTTGCCCGTGGCTCTCATGGCAGTGAGGGCTTTGGTCCGAGGGAACAGGCCTGGAGACAGCAGAGACAGCATCACCAGGTGTGCTGTGGCTCATGCTGAGATCCCTGAGGGAGGGCTCAGGGAGGGACCTGGACTCCAGAACAGGGACAACGCACTGAAGCCTGCCCCTGCTGTCCGTCCTGGGAGGCCTGTTTATGCCAAGTCCACAGGCGGTGTGTCAGGACGTCCGCATCCTGGTCTGACAGAGGCTGGGGGCCTGCTTTAAAAAACTGGGGGTCAGGAGCTAATGGAGGAAGACCCAGGCCCGGCCCAGGGCCTGGTGGAAGCACAGCTGTTGGGGGCTGGGGAAGAGGAGGTCCCAGCAGCTTAGATGAGGAGGGGTCGAGCACCTGGGAGGAGCCGGAAGTCACGCAACCCTCTCTCCGGGACAAACTCCACGTGAAAGTGGCTGCCCTGGTGGAGTTCCTGCTCCTCAAATACCGCAACAAGCAGCCGACCCGCCAGGCGGAGATGCTCCAGATCCTCAGCAAAGATTACCAGGACGACTCCCCAGTGATCTTGGGCCAAACCTCCGAGTGCATGCGGCTGGTCTTTGGCATGGACGTGAAGAAAGTGGACCGCAGTGACCACTCCTACATCCTGGTCAATGTCCTGGGTCTCATCTGTGATGGGATGCTGAGCGGTGAACATGGCATGCCCAAGACCGGCCTCCTGGTTTTGGTCCTGTGGGTGAGCCTCCTGCATGGCGAACGTGCCCCCGAGGAGGAGGTGTGGGAAACGCTAGGGGTCATGGGGGTGTATGCCGGCCAGGAGCACATCATCTATGGGGAGCCCAGGGAGCTCTTCACCAAAGTCTGGGTGCAGGAAGGGTACCTGGAATACCGGCAGGTGCCTGGCAGCGACCCTGACCGCTACGAGTCCCCGTGGGTTCCCAGGGCCCAGGCTGAACCAGCAAGTTTCAAGTGCTGGAGTATTTGCTCCGGGTCAGGCGCGGGCAGCTGGCTTCCTCCCTGGCCCTGTCTGAAGGGGCTGTGAGAGATGAGGGAGAGGAGGCCTGAGTCCCATTGGCGGCCAGGCCCTTTCCAGGCTTTGGTGGGGTCGGCAGCTTCTCCTGCGGGGTGCTGGGCATGAAGTGAGGCCACACTTTGGTTCTTCCCTGTGTGTGTGAAAAGAGAGAGCCCCGGGATTTCTTTTTTTTTTTTTAATTTTTTTATTGTTATGTTAATCACCATATATTACATCATTAGTTTTTGATGCAGTGTTCCATGATTCATTGTTTGTTCATAACACCCAGTGCACCATGCAAAACGTGCCCTCCTCAATACCCATCACCAGGCTAACCCATCCCCCCACCCCCCTACCCTCTAGAACCCTCAGTTTTTCAGAGTCCATCATCTCTCATGGTTCGTCTCCCCCTCTGACATACTCCCCTTTTCTTCCTCTCCTGTTATCTTCTTCTTTTCCTTTTTTCTTAAAATATGTTGCGTTATTTGTTTCAGAAGTACAGATCTGTGATTCAACAGTCTTGCACAATTCACAGCGCTCACCGTAGCACATACCCTCCCCAATGTCTATCACCCAGCCATCCCATCCCTCCCACCCCCAACCACTCCAGTAACACTCAGTTTGTTTCCTGAGATTAAGAATTCCTCATATCAGTGAGGTCATGTGATACATGTCTTTCTCTGATTGACTTATTTCACTCAGCATAACACCCTCCAGTTCCATCCATGTCGTTGCAAATGGCAAGATCTCATTCCTTTTGATGGCTGCATAATATTCCATTGTGTATATATACCACAACTTCTTTATCCATTCATCTGTCAATGGGCATCTTGAGCCCCGGGATTTCTAAGTAAGGCAGGGCCAGGGAGGGTTGGGGGAAGAAAGTAGGGTGAAGAACCA